CAGGGCATGCGTGGTTCGGCTCGTTTCGAGGTACCAATCTCCTCTGGATTTATATGCGTGGCTGGGAAAGGTACTCGTGCACCAGCAGCTCAGACGCGGCACGTATCCTGCACCAAACGACAGGCATGGCAGGGCTAGCGTGCTCTGAATGGTGAGTACCGTTACAGACGGTGTCCTCTGAGCCGCGTCTGAACACGAAACACACGCGGAGAGTTAGTCCCCCTTGCACGCCTGGAGGTACTTTCCAGTGGTTCAACTGCCCTCCAGTGGCTGGTTTTAGCATGGGCCCATGTCGCTATGCTCTCCCGCTAAACATGGATCAGATGGCGGGCGAAAAAAGCAAGTTGGCTGAGAAGAAGCAGGTTACACAACAGTAGCTTAGTGCACAAGCCACCAAGACTTGGGGAGTTGGTGACCGCCCACTTCCAGCTGGCATTTGATCTCCTGCTCATCTCCTTGGTTTTTTTTTGGTGGTTATTTGCAATATGAATCGACTCTAAACCTGCGCCTGATGACGTCAAGATAAGATTTGGACCGTGGGACCGATCGATCGCAATGGAGCGACCAAAAAAGTCAACCTGGCCAAGCTAACCTTTACTTATTCTTCGTGATACAAAAGCGAGGCTGTTCCCTTGAAAGAATATCGCACTGCTTATCAATTACCAAGCGCTTTGTCTTGTCTTCTATGAAGGCCATTTAATCCAGGATCCCGCGACATGGTACAGTCAGGCTGTGCTTGGAGTCAGGCCGGGGATTGAGCACGACATGAAGCCCTTTGAAGTTGATAAGGTGCCTGTCTCGTTTTAACGACATCATATGTTGTGATACTGACATACCCCATGATATTTATCTCTACTGGCTATCGGCCAGCTACTGTATCTTCTTCCAGCTCTCAGTGAACAATTCTCACCTCACGTACAATGATCAAGGTCCCCGTTATCAACGCCCCTTGCTTCTTACCCTGCATCTGGACATATGGTTCCTTTTTTGAACGTTGTTGACTTGGTTCGTCGCTGAATAAGACCACGGCATAGATTACCGTTGGTTGTCGTGCGTCTGATGTCTTCAAGTGGCCGTATCGCGGACCACATGTTTTACACGTCTCTGGTTGTTCCTGTAATTAACCACGATTAATAATGTACTAATCTGGGTCCCAGTAGCAGGTGGTGGGTAGGATTGGCAGCTCACTGGATAGAGATAAGGACTGAAACTATCTAAGCACCATACGCTTCTGTATGCGCTTGATCACGAGCATTATCTGCCTCCTCTTGTTCTTTCTCTAGCCCCTCTTGAAAATTGCTTTTAGCTTTTTCTTGCTCTGATTGAGCATCTGCAACACCTTTTTCTTCTTTCTTCAGCTGGGCCTCCGCTTCAGTGAGTTTATCTTGGAGAGGCTTCAGCTTGGCTTGGTCGCTGGTTTCCTTCTGTTCCTCCTCAAGCGCCTTCTCCGCGGCTAAAGCCTGAGCACGAAATTGCTCAGTGTTTCTCTTTCCCTGTTCGATTTGTTCCGCCAATTTGCCGATACGATCTAGGTTCTCCTTTGCCGCACGCTGCGTGATCAACGCCGCGACGGCTTTCTCTACGTAGGTAGTAATAAGCGCAGACCGTTCTCCACCAAAAATCGCATCGAACTTGCTGAGGCATACCCCGTCTATGATGGTCGTAGACGCATCTTTGCTGAGGGCGGTATATCCAGCGATCTTGTTGCGGATCTGGGGACCAATCCTTTCATTGATAGCGCGCTGTGTAGCCTGATTGATGGCTACCCGAGCTCCAGCCTCAAGCGTCTGTGTATCGCTTACACTGGTCTGTTTGTTTAAGTATCCGGTGGCAGCTTCCGAAGCCAGGTTAGCGGTATCGGCTACTGGAAAGTCCAATTTTTGAGCCTCCGTATAGGCAACCTTGGAAGTGGCCGCTTTGTACAATTCTTGGAACTTGAGACCTTGTTCGTGCTGATTTTCTGGAAACACTTTGGTCTTGGCCCAAGAAAAGACGGATCCTAGTAAATTCTGAACTGGCACAAATGCAAGGGTGACGCTGATGGCGAACATCATTTGTGAAGCTGATGCAGTCATCCACCAATTTTGATTGGGATCATCGCTTAGAATGACCAAGTCGCTGCTTGGACTACCTTGGGCGAGTGGATAGAACTGCTGACAAGAGAAAGGTGTCTTTTGGGTTAAGTCTTTCGCAGGCCACGTGAAGCCGCTGATAGTGGTCGTCGATTCCTGGGACTCACTAGCAGGTTGTTGGCGTGTAAACGTCACCAAGTAACAAGTGGTGCCTCCATTGGCCTTGAACGAAATGCTTGCTGTGAATTGATCAACACTCTGACCAATGCCGCTACAGTCCACCTGGATGCTGCTACCGCCCACGCTAGCCAGTACACTCGACGTGTCAGAGGTATCTTGCATCCGTTACATATCTCTATAAGAAGAGTCCTCGAGCCAAGAAGTCCATCAGCACATTGACGCGCTCGCCGCCAATATACAAAACCAAAACCTTACGGATCTCATGTCGCGATCCCCAGCGTCAATCGGCAAGAGAGTTTCCCGTGTCGCATTAGCCATGCTACTAATAAGGGATGGATCAATGCTGCAGGGTCCTCCACGCCTACGGACCAACGGAATGCTGCTTTATGTGCACTTATCACGGTAGGACCGGAATCCAGAGACGTCCTGAGGTCTCATTGGTGGTACCGTGGGCAATACATCGGTGTTTGACCCTCGCGACCCATGGTTCCGGATGCCTATTGGCGTCGTGGGCAAGCTCCTCGTCTAGAGCTCGATCATGACCCGCGGATATCCCAATAACCCTGAAGAAACGCGAGAGACCCTCCTGGACACTGGTCACAGCTTTCCGAACTCTCCCGTGCATGCAAGATTGGAGACCTCGTCTCCTACTGCTCTGAGCGCGAGGGTAACAAACTGACTTTCGTACGGCGTAAGGACACGCAGGTCAAGGTACGAGGTCAACGCATCGAAATGGACAAGATCAGCTTCCAGATCAGTGCCTCTGCCAATAGGATAGCGACCCAAACAGTATGATATAGTCCCGCTGTACCTTGAACGGAAGGATTATGGCCATCTTGACCCTTCATAGCTTACGCACCACAAACTATGGTACGAATACCGAGCTGCTACAGATCATAGATAACCCCCAAGAAATAAAAGTCGTCAAGAGGATCGTGTTGAAAGTCCAGAACTATATTGCTGATAAGATGTCTGCCTGCACAGGATGCCCATCAATTCGGCCGGTAACCGCGAAGTCCGACGCGTAACTTAGATCGATAAAGTGACGGACAAATACAAGCACATCACCAGGAACCTGGCTGACAACTGGCAAGATACCGGACCTGAGAGCCCTCGCAGTCCCGTTAAGCAGACCATTGCCATGGCTGAGGTCAGACTGTACAACACCTCCTTCCTTCATGTGCTTGTCCTAAGGTGGCGTAAACGTCTGAAACGTGCCATCAAACTCTATATATGCTCCAGCAACTGCCAAAAGGTCCAAACCAGGGTTCAAGTATTCGGGTGTTGTAAGTTGCCAAAGTGTGAACGGCCCGACATTGGCAAATATGCCTTCAGACTTTGTCCCAATGTCGCCATCTATTGTAATAGACCCCGTACTAATTTCATAGACAAAGTCACAGTTGATAATACTATGCGAAAAGTGAAATGATTCGCCGCTCTGGCTGTAAATGTCCTCATTGATAAGAGTGTTATTTTGAGTGGATAGTCCCCACAGCTGATGGCTCACATCACGCGCCTCACACACGATACTTACTTATATAGTGTTGGTAGGCATCGCCATACATCCGACACCGTTCACCGATTGGTAGCCACTGTAAGTTGTTTATCCGATCGTCCTGCAATAGAACGTAAACGCAGCCACCATAGACAAGGGTAGTAATAATCTCGGTGATGCAATCGTAAAAGGCGTAGGAGGAAAGTTGTACCTCCTAACATCGGTACTGAAGCACATAACACGCCCGTAACCTGGCCAATCGATCTTGATGCGAAGATGATGTATACAGCGTTCTTGGCGTAGCGGTATCTAAACGCTGTCGCCATCGTCGTCCTTAGCGACACAGCTGGCTTCATCCGCGTTCAACGCCACGACGTTATCAACGAGACTGTAGATAAGGCCGATACGGTCGGGTGATGTGAGAACTACAGTCCTATTGGGAAGTTACTCGGCAATCATGGCGATACTTGGGGGATTGGCTGAGCCTGGAGGCACGAACACGCCGCCTGCTTTCACACCGGCAAGCATAGAGAAAATCGCCTTGGTGCTCTTCGTAGAGATCAGCGGTACCATTACCTCGGACGCGAAACCGAGGCCACGCAGACAGAAACCCAGGTCACGTAGTCATCAAGCTCAGCACAGGAGAGTTCGCCCTCCAATGAGGGGACGGCGCAGTAGTTGATGACTCGCTGACGTGGGTTTCGATTAGAGTATGGGTGGTCGAGTCGATAACAGGTTGTGGTTCTCCGTCTTCATTCAATTCCACAGAGCGGCTGCAGTCGCTGTCCTAGCACAGAGAAGTCATTACTAGTTGAGACAATATAGAGATAGTATAGACTACACCTGTAGTACAAACAATGTAGAAGTTAGTATAAACTGTATAGACTTAATGTTTACTCTAAATATGAAGATAAGCCCTCGCTGTCCGGAACTGAATCAACCTAACCTGTACACGGATATCCTTCACCGGGTGCCGTTACCCATGCTGAAGACGGTACTTGAAACATGCATGCTGAAAAGAGCAACGATCTTGTCGGTGCGGTCTACAGGAACATCGCGACCTGAAGTGAGGTGACCAAAAGCATACATCGTTAGAGCTCGTAGAGGCGCGCAAGACTAACATCTAGGACACTTGGAGTGCGGCCGAGCTATCTGGCCTCAACGCCTGGAACGGGCCGCGATATCTTGCTGAGCGATCTCACCCTTTCATCTGTCTGTGCGTCCATAAGAACTGTAAAATGGCAAGGGCGTGCGTTTAACGGTGTATCAGACCTGTAATAGAGAGACTGGGATACCGGCTTGTATAGAGGGTTCATATGGGAGTCCGACTCCTTCCAACACTTCATGATACCCGCTAAGTAGATCATTTATCACAAGCCCCATGGAACTCCCGCATATCAATGTATGGCTGATTATGAATGAAAGATATCCCGCTGCAATGCCAGTACTTAAGATGAGCAGCGCATGAGGGGGGTTATCTGATGCCAGCGCTGGAGTCAATGGGTGGAGGAACGCGATGGCATTAGGGCTATCACATTTTGAATTTTCATCGCAGGCTGGGCTACTGTTGCTATCTCTCTGAGAACAAGTTAGGCGTAATTCCCGTCAATTCTGCCACTGTCGTAGAACACTACACGCAAGAGCTGTGACGTTTGATACTTGCTCTAGATCGATTGGGACCCTCACTTTGTAGGAAAGACCTTCCAGATGCCTCATACCACCGATGGCGCGTTATCTTTGGCTTGGTGAGGAGAATGCCTTGTTGTGATGGGGAGTAGAGGTAGGCCACTTCGACGACATCGGGGCCCCAACTACCCACCTTAGCCTTACAGGCGGATGCAAGTGACCATCTTCCTAGAGCCAACAGGGAAAGCCACCCGGGTCAATGTGGCTGGGATGCTAGACGCTGGGATGTAAGGGTCTCTAGCATTATTTTTAAAGCTGTCCAGCCACGCTTTGAAGCGATGCTTGTGCAGCGACGGATCCTCGAAAATTGTTGTGAATATGAGCTCTGGCACTATAGCTGAGCTTGTGGCTTTCGACGACCTCGATTCTGGCTCTATCTAGCTGGAACTCGGTCCCCGCTACTCTTTTCAAATCATGGACAGCATTTGGCTGAATTACTTTGCGGGTGCCGACCTGGTCGGGCTATTGTGTTCTCGTCGCCTTCTCACCTCCGATTCCAACTCGGTCCCCGCTGTGCTGCTTGCAGAGGTAATTCGGCCAGCTCAAATAGCTCGATGTCAAGTATCGCGACTGAGTGCAAACTGAGCCGGCGAAATAAGTCTGCAGCTGGCCAAAGCTCCAAATTTCTGTTGGGAACGCCTAGGCCTTCACTTTGGGTGGGCTCACTGCCCAGCAGTGAAACCGGCTGTTCCCTCTCGCTCCTGAAAATAAGAATCTGCTTGTGCCCAGCGATTTGCAAGCCGCCATACCTGTTTACCTGTGGCTTATCCCAAGAATCCCAGATACCCACCATTGCTTTGATGTAACAGACGAAAAAGCGTGTACAGTGTTTTCCTCAACCGCCCGAGTCCGAACAGTTCCAATTAGCGATTAATAGATCTACTCTCCGCCATTCGTTATACTGAGCTACATGAAGGTGATCACTGTCAAAGCCGCTGCTGCTGAGGATGCTCTTCAGAGTGTCTTGTGGAGGGTTTGTATAGTTCTGATGTCGTTGTTGATTCTTCTCGGCGAGCAGACGCGAAGGACACGGGATATGAGGTTGGATGTGCTGGAGACTTGTGAAGTGCGTGCCTTGTTGGTGGATGCAGACCAGCGAGGTATTGAGGAGGATGTTTGGGTTGGAGATGCATTTGGGGTAGCTACATACCTTCGATGCTGGCATGTATGGAGAGTCTTTGTAGGAAGTAGACTGATGACCTTTATGTTGCAGATTTGACAATGTGGCTAACGACTTTCAAGCAGCCGTTTTCTATCTCCTCTTAGTGAAAACCCCAACTATTTGCCTCTATTAGTCAACAACTGAAGAAGACCCACTGAACTCTCGGGATTCATCGCTCTCTGTTCATCTACGAGTTGAGGAAGGATGCAATAGTTGTGCTACGGAGTAAGCTGTCTCCCTCTCAGTGCTTCTCCAACAGTAAAGTCACTCCTAATTTACAAGTTGCGCCTCAACTACAATGGGCACCATATGTTCCGGCGAAGCTGATTCGTACTCCTTCCTAGCCGAAAAAGATCCCGAATCGTAAAGAGGAGAAGAATTATTGAAAAGAAAAGGAGAAGAGGACTCCCAGAAACTCTACGCACTCCCTAAAACAAATAGCGCCCCTTCGCAAATCAACCTCTATACTCAGTAAAGCTTGCCCGTAGTCGTCCCACAACATGAAGCATGAGGGCAACGATGACTCTGAGGAAGAAGTGTACTCGAGGTTGGATCTCAGAAATAATGAATATAAGAATGATGGGGATAAGTAAATAGAGGAACGACCATTCAAAACCGCCAACAAAAGCGAAGTAGAGACCAGCGAGCAGCAACTTAAGGCCCATCATGAACATGGACGCGATGCCTCGAACGCCTGACCAGAGAAGTCTCAGCCCGAAAAACAGTGCTTGGTGGAAGTAGGGCCAGGCATCGCCCGAAAAGCCTATCCAGCCTTCGATATCGGGGTCCCTTTCCACTTCCTCAATGTCGTATTCTCCCTCGAGGGTCACATCAGAAGGATCCATGTCAGAGTCGTTGATGTCGGGTGGAAGATCGAGAGGCAGTGAGCCATTGTCAACCTCGGCGGATTCTCGCAGCACGAGAGTGGGATTGCGAATTCCTAGGGATGTTAGATTTGCTTGGATTATATATTGTTCAGAATGCTTACTGGCGAGGGAACTGCATGATTGTCCATGAAGTCGCTCGCAAGAAAGTGAATATTCTCACCTCTGCTGAGACTCGTGATAATATAATCGATGGCACCTGGCTGCTGGCCGCCCTCAGGAAAGCTACCTACTTCGGTCAGGTCAGATATGGCATTGGGCTTCAGGTGCTTACACATGTTATTGATATCCATGGTGATTGTGTTATAGCTGTGTATCGTGATAGAGAGGTAAGGTCGGGAAATGAGCAGTCAGAGGTCTAATTTGGAGGTTGGAGTGTATAATCACTTGAAGAAGTGAGATTGTGTATCCTTAAATTTGGATGATGGAAAGGCATTATGTAGTAAGTGGCTTTGAAGAAGATGTTTTTGAATTCAGGTGGAGCAGAAACTCGTGATAATTGGCATGGGGCTGTGTTACAGTTACTGCAGATTTCTCTTTATCTTATTTCCACGTGGAACAAGGGCAACTTATTCACCCCGGTAGTTCTAATGCAGGATGACCGCATGTCCCAGCAGCCTGGACGGGTAATTCGAGCCCCGCGGTCAAAGATGATTGACGTTGCTGAGCAGACCCAATGGAGCCACTTCAGACAGGGTAATGCAAAGGGTAGTGAGACCTAAAATCAAGCAGCAGAGTCTCAAGAGTGAAACACCCGATGCGGCAAATGTACAGAGGTTGATGTTTTGTCAAAAGCGATAATAACATCAGTAATCGCGGAATTAAGAAAGTCCCTTGAGGGGAAAGAAAATGAGCCTCTTGTCAAGCGAGACAAGTGCTGTGTGGGTATTGGTAGGAGAGACAGCCGGGATTCACGTCTCACTGCGAGAACAAAGAATATCCACGTGGCTTCCAGCCTCTAGAGATGAAGAAGTCGTCTCGCAATGATATCCGTCCATGCAGTGTGGCAGCATCACATCACCCCAGGACTCTCACCAGTTGGAATTGCCGATGAGCCTTACGTGAAGTGCGGATTCTGATGTGGCTTCTGCAGCAGGGAGACTGTCGCGAATCGCATTGAAATAATATCTGGGTTATTCACTTATCCTTTGTCCTCTTCATCTGAGGGTCTGCAGCAACCCGGCTGCTAACGAAACTCAGTACAAAGTGAATGGTTGACTGCAAGCGATTGGCCCTGGTTGCTTCATGCAATGCGCCGCCTTCTCGACAACATTCACAGCAGCGATTCCTTTGTTATTACTTTCTTTTATCTTTGTAGTCTCAACTTTGCGTGTTGGCAAGTGATGATGTGAAAGCTTACGCGTGAAGTAAAAACCAGAGGAAGATGTTATATATAAGAGAGCAAAACCCCAACCGTGTGATCAGTTTTTGATTTCAGTCAAGGTTCAATTTACCATATTCTATAACATCTTAGGACGTCCAAAATCACTGTCAATCCAAGTAAACATCTGCCAACAATCGCACCAACCCCATCAACACTATGAAGCGCAAGGCCTCTCCTCGGGACAGCGCGGAAGACATCTCAGAGATGCCTCTTCCTCCATGGAAGAAGATCAGAGTGCCGGGTGATGAGATCACGCTCCCTATCTATGAAGACAGCAAGCCATTTGAGCCTTTTCCCGAGGAAATTGTGCTTCTGACAGAGGAAATCGTGAAAGATCTCGATCCTCAGAGTTCTCCCCCAGCTTCTCCAATGCATTCTGAAGACGAATCAGAGGAAGCTTCGCATCATGTTGAATGTAACGAGGACCTTGCCAACACTGTTGGTCTTGAGGAGGCTATTGACCACCGCGAAGATGAAGAGGCAGTTCAAACAAACGCTACTGCTCTGTGTGACGATGGAGGGAAGGTGTAGAGCTATTGGTAAGGGCGTACACAAAGAATAGATTATGAATAGATACTAATTGACACTAGCAGGTTGAGCATGTCAGAGAGAGGGATAGAGTGGCAAAAGGAAATGCTCGCGTGTGATCAAGGACATAGAACATGAGGTTGAAAAAGGGGCCATCGAGATCTCGGCAAGTCGTTAATTTCTACCTATTTCCAAGCTAGCTGCCTGCGCCATAGATCCCGTCACGCCAAAGTACAGGTATCGACCTTGCGTCTGAGAACTGCAGATAAATTGAAATCAGTGAAGAAACAGTGGTTTGAACTGGGGATACTCGAGTTTATACTCAAGTTTATACTCAGGTTTATACTCGAGTTTATACTAAAGTCAGATCTTGCATATCTAGATCTTGAGTACTAGAGATGCCAATGCGATAAGCGTGCGACAGCGTAAGAGACTGGTGACGACGCACTCACTCAATTGCGATCGCGTAATTGGACTTCAACAGACTTGGTTGAATTGGCCGAGGTGGCTGCCTTATTCGCCGGTCATCACAGCCAGGATTCGACTCGACTCTCAGACCGAGATAAGATAAGGAGTAATTAAATGCAATCATGAACAAACTATGTCCAAAGTCTTTGAAGAACTATGAAGTGATGTCTTTTCGCTTTTGTTTATTTCATGTCTTGACTAGAAGCCACTAACGTATTCGCATTGACAGTTTACTCTTCGGCTGACGCGATTGGTATTTAGCGCTCACCTTTCTCCCAGTAGTGCTGTGCTTCGCACCCCAGTCGTCAGCCTTGCATACAACACTGCCCCTTGCTTTCCACCCTTTCACTGCTCAAAGCGACTTTTCGTCATGTGGCGGAAATTTCCAGCGGCGTTGGGGCGCTTTACTGACCCCTTTTCTGATGGATAGCACTGGAAAATGTGGCAACTCGGCATCACCAACGGCACAGGACACGGGTAAATGGGCACCTGGATCGATGAGATTTTCCCTTGCTCGCCAATGCAGGACAGCATTTTACTCAGCCAGCTTCGAACTCCTCATCTTTACGACATCCGTTTTGCTTTCGACGCCTCCTTCCACGACGGATGGTGCGAGATGTATTGTGTCCCTCAGAGGAATAGGGCCCTTTATAAATAGTAGCTAGCTTTTGCCGCCGTTCTGTCCGAAGGTAAGAGTCAAGGGCAACACAGAATAACGACCATCACGCTATATCTCTGCCTGTTGCTAGTCGTCCTCTCCAGGAGCCCAGGCTAAATACCTCCAACTCGGTTCAAATTTAAGTTCAAACCCAACTTTCTTCAATCTTGACTTCATCACATATCCCACAGCGCCTTCTTCATCCTGTCTCCACTTGGCCCGTCCCCATTCTGCATCAGACTCATCCTCGCGCCGAAACCTGCATTGCCCAAAGTCTATCATGAAAACCTGGTAGGTGTCATCTTTGGGAACGACTATAAAGTTATCCGGTCGAACGTCGGCGTTTAGAATGTCATGGTCGCCGAGGACGTGAACTATTTGAATGGCCTGGTCGACGATCGCTTGCCATGATGACTCTGGCGCATTATCTGCCAATGTGGAGAGGGAGAAGCCGGGAAGATATTGGAGGAGAATGCCCTGTTGCTTGTAAAGTTCTTGTTGTTGTGTAGTAAGGGCCGCGTTAGATGAGAGCATGTCAAGGACGACAGAGGCCAGGAAGCGAGGTATGACTTTTCCCTGGTATTCTCTGAGATGATTGTACGTTGCGATTTCTGAGGTGAAGCATTTTCGTAGCTTGGCAGCCAGGTAGACTTCGTTCTCAGCTGCATCCCAGTCATCCTCAGTATCTCTTTGGAAATTTGGCATGGTCTGAAGCTTGCACAGAAATTCTTCTGCCTTGCCGGATGCAAGAGCTGTCAGGAATTTTTGTTCGATATCCGCAGACCAGGTATCGATACCGTTGTCTTGGCGAATCTGCTCCGCGAATCTCCTGTCAAACATCTTCAAGAACGCTTCGCTCTGATTGCGTAGAGTCTCGGAGATCGTTTCTGAGTCTGAGGCGTCCTGGAGTTCGACTGACATGCCGCATGATAATGTCCATGGTCGCTTTTGTTGTTTAATTTCCACATGCAGCTCTGTCTGCTTTTGGTTTGAAGTGCAAATTTTCAGGTGGATGGCCTTTCCGATGCGATAGTTAAGGGCAGGAGTATTGCTTTCATCTGTTGAGGCTGTCATTTCCTTCTGCGCTGCGCAGGCTGTGTGAAATCCCAGTGTTGATAGTTGTGTAGGAGTGCAAGAGTTAGGGATATTGTGAGGAAGCGATCGGTGGAGTCGTCGAGAAGTTCAAGGTCAAACTCATGGAAGAGGATGCGACAATCTGGTCGCGGGAGTATGTTTCTGAGCCGTCATTTGAGACTATTGTCGCTGATGTGCAGGCCGCGATGGGTTGAGAGGGCCACCTTGAACTATTGACATGGATCTATACTTTTTGATAAAGGGCCCTGTTTACATACTAGTTCGAAGGTTACTTGCAGTTGCAGCCACTATTACCTTCCCTAACCTAGCCTTTGTAAGCTTTGCAACCGAGGACACTACCTGAGGCATATTTATATTCCATCCTGAGACAGACACTAAAGTTCTCCCTCTAGGTAGTTGTTTCTCTTGTACTATCAACAATAGAGAGCTAAAGATTCCTCGCAAACTCAACGTCTTTTCTAGCTCTTATTCCTTATGATCGGTTTGATGACTGGTGCTGATGCGGATGCCGAAGTCAACACCTGGAAGGTTGACCTCAAAGAGCTTAAGTCAGCTCTCATCACTAGACAGTCTTTTCGGGCAATGTGAAAGAGTAAAAACAATGAATGGGCTGCCTTGGCCGCCAAAGTGAGCGTCCAAGCTGCCAGGTCCGCAACCTCCTTTACGGCTTTGGGAACAAGTCATCAAGCGTCAACACATGATTCGCAGCGTGTTTCAGCCGAATCGCCGTGGCAGTGGGTCATTTGAATAGGTCATTCTTCGGGAGGTTCTTGCTACAGTTCATCAGATTCAATTAGAGGCACTTGCAGTATCGTCTGACGATCTCGTTAAGTGAGTCCGTAAGACGATGGTCAAGGCACCAGTTAGCAGCTTTGAATATGGCAAGGCTCTTCACGACTTGTCGATTCACACTGCAGGGGATTCTGTGTTTATCCTTCTTCGCGTAAGCCACGCCTTGACCAATGGAGCATGTCCCATATACAATAGGTAGCCTTCAACAGGAATACATGCACAATCTTACAACCGCCCATGGCCTCGGGTATAGAGAGCTACTTTCCTTGATTCTCAAACAGCTGCTCGCGCACGGAAAGACGCTACTTTTACCTCAGCTTTTGTCGGCGTGCGGGCCTGCTTTCGGAGGACTTGTCTTAACAAAAGTATCAGCCCGGGTTCTTACCCTGCATATATATATAGACAATAATAAGGTGCACTTTAGTAACCTTACCCCTGGCTATAATGCTTCTTTTTAATATATTTCTAGCCTTATTAATTTACTTATTAATATACTTATCTATAATATTAACTTTAATTAGTTTATAACAGTTACTTAACTTCTTTAAGATATATATATTATATTATAACCTAAACAGAAGAAGCGCTTATATTATATATACCCTATATTTTTTTTCTAATTATTTATAATTACTATATACTAAGATAGATTACTAGTAACTCTAGATAATTACTAGTAATTCTAGATAATTACTAGTAATTTTAGGTAATTACTAGTAACTCTTAAGAATTACTATTAACTTTATAGTAACCCTATAATCCTTATTAAGCTATTAATAGTATATAAATATATTCCTTTAGTATTAAATAAAACCTAGCTTACTAGCTATTAATAATACTTCTTTACCTTAATAAGCTTAATATATACTATTAACTATTAA